AGTTAGGGGGGGGGGAGAGGGGGGGGAGAAAGGGGGAGGGGCAAATAAAAACCGCTGAGTTCATTTCTGTCTGGGCTGAAAAAAGTAACAAAGTTCAGAGGTAAATGTCACCGAGCACCTCAGGAACCACAGAGGGACAGAGACAGAGGGACAGAGTCAGAGGGACAGAGACAGAGGGACAGAGTCAGAGGGACAGAGACAGAGGGACAGAGACAGAGACAGAGGGACAGAGACAGAGACAGAGGGACAGAGACAGAGACAGAGGGACAGAGACAGAGACAGAGGGACAGAGACAGAGGGACAGAGTCAGAGGGACAGAGACAGAGGGACAGAGACAGAGGGACAGACAGCTGTCTTCTCCTCCTGTCTTCAGCTCAGTGTTTCGTTTGGACGACGGTTCCTCGGAGCCGGGGTTTGGAACAAATGGTGGAACCAGGGCAGACTGTGAAGAACCTCAGGAACAGTTCTCCAGTCCAACAGTTCTCCAGTTCTCCAGTGAACAGAAAAGCTCTGAAGAGTTCTGCGTTCGTCCGTTTGATCAGAAAAGACGGAAGAACAGAAGAAGAAGAAGAAACTCCAGATCCTCAGGGAAGAACGCTGCAACCTGAGACGACTGAAGTCCCGCAGAACAAAGAAGATCCCATACTCACACACAGGACTTTGAAGGACTTCCTGTCGACTCCTGACCCGGGTCTGGTGGTCTGGGAAATACCACCACGCCGCACCTCCTGCTCTAGAGGAGGTCGCCAGAGTGAGGAGCCCCCAGAGTCCACTGGGACCCTGTACGAGTGTGTCACTGTGAGTGTGTGTGTGAGTGTGTGTGTGAGGGCTGTGGGAGGGGCCGAGCTGTAGAGTGGTGCCCCCTTTTCTCCTCCCTCCTCCCCCTTCATCACTCGCACCATACCCCCCCCCACTGTCCTCACGCTTTGGGGAGGGGGGGTATGTTTCCTTTCTTTGGAAATATACCCCCCCCCCACCCTCTTAAAAACTTTGTTCCTGAAGTTGAAACAGTTCTCCCACTGAGCCCAGTCACCTGTCAGTACCAGGAGGGGGCGCTGTGGGTGGACTCACTGGTCTGTAAGTGTAAACACCAGTGTCTAAATCTCTGCACTGGTACCAACAACATTAGCCGCCGTGGCTCAAACACAGGTTCCTCTTGTACTGCCCACTTATCCACCGTGTGGCCCTGAACAACTGCAGGGCAGAACACTTGGTCACTTGGTCACTGGTCACTGGTCACTGGTCACTGGTTACTGGTTAACTAATCACCCAGCGTACCTAGCGAGCGGTCCTTGGTCTGGTTGGTGGACCGTACCACAGGCAGACTGGCACGGACTCGACTGCCCCTGGTGAAGGCGGTGGGGGCTTCGACCTCTGACATGGCGTCCAGCGACTCCAGCGAGGCCAGAGAGAGGTGGTCAACCTGGTCGCCCCCGCAGGGCTGGGAGGGGGGGCCGTGCTTCGGGCTTCTGCTCTGGAGTGGGAGGAAGAGGGAAACAAAACCCAGTCAGAGTGGAACCATCGGCAGAACAACAACCGTCAGAGCTGTGGCTGGTAACGAGAACCAGCGACTCATGAATATGTGATTGACTGCATTGATGCAGTGGGCCCAGAGGAGGGAGCTGTCGCTCCTCCCCCAACCAGGCATTAACGTTTGAACCAGAACTTCAGAATAAAGTACCAATCTCCAGACACCTGGGCCACAGTTCTGGACCCAGAGACCAGCTAGTAGAGCTGCCTGGTTCTGATCTGGTAACCTGGTAAGACTGGTTTAGAACAGCTGGAGAATGGAGCAGCATTAGCAGATACTGTTTATTTGCTTGCTAACAGCACAACAGAACAAACCCACCTGTATTGTCTTCTTTAATGCTGGTTTCATCACAATCTGCGTTTGAAGTTAGCGCTAACATTTAGCGAGGCGTTAGAACGTAAACATGTGATCTTCACAGCACCACAAACAGACAGACCATGAAACTGTCGTGCAGTTTTACCAGCTGGTGCTAACGATCCGCGGCCTGGTCCACGGTGAAGCAGAAACGCCGACTGTCGTGAACCGTGTCATCGTGTTTGCCGACGACTCTGTGCTGTGTAACCAGATCTGTGGGACTGGACTACAGACAGAGCCGGGCTTTTATGTGGTGCAGTAAGGTGATCCGTACCACAGGGACGAGGTGTGGCTCAAGCTGTGGCCTGTGTGAATGAGGGCAGACTTTTAGAGACGCCTCTTCCTGTGTTGTGCAGCTGATGTAGTACCAGTGGGAGCAGTACTAGTACAAAGATACTGCATACACACTCTGGCACAAACACAGTACTTCATTCGTTGAAATATTCTATAATTAAAGTGAATATTTAAATCAACATCATCACTGACGCTTTCTGAAACCTCTAGAAAAAAACCATCAGGGACTTGTTGTCGGCTCATCCTTTAAACTTTAGCTAGTTTTAGGGCATATTAGCCTTGATGCTAACCTTAGCACAACTTTTTATATTTGGTGAAAATGAGGTGGTCTGTACTAACTTGGTGAGTGGGTCAGTTAGTTAGTTGTCTCTTTTACCGTTCGTCTCATGAACAGAACCGGGAAAAGAGAGAGAAAAGGGAAACGATGCAGGAACACACTCACACAGCAGGGGGCAGAACTGGTGCAAAAAGAAAAGCAAACACACACGACGGCCTGACGACAAAGAGAGAAAACGTTGGACTAACAGTGTGTGACGACTGGATTTTCATCAGGTACTTCTGAATGTCAAGCTCAGCGTGGAGGGAGGAGAGCATGACCTGCAAAGACTGATGGGAGAAAAGACAGGACAGGACAGGACAGGACAGGGAGCTCAGTCAATGTGAGGGGCGTGGACACGTGAGGGACAGAGGTATAATGTGGGAAGCTCATCTCAGAAAAAAACTCTCTTTTATACGAGTGTGTTTCTCAGAAACTTCTGGACGCTCGGTACGACTTCACACGTCAGATGATAATTTGAAGCAGCCTCCGCGGAGAGAGGAAACAGAGCTAGCTGAAATGACATGGTCTGACCACCGTGGCAAACACAGGAAACACACACAGGACGGCGGCCCTGCTCAGCAGAGTTAACCCTTTCCTAGAACCCACTGAGTTCCTGCTCCTGGATCCAAACGGACTCGTTTTAATGAGTTAAAAAGTTCACTGTTTAAGCCAACACTTCAGTTCAGTTTGACCTCAGAAAAGAAGTCTGTGGACTTCTGAGGACCAGAGCCTCTGGTTGAGACCACGGTCTTCTGTCAAACTTTGTTTGCCTTCCTGCGCAGGCACAGAGGCGTTAAAGTCACTGATCAGCACTGATGACCTGGTGACCTGTTCAACTGCTAACGACCAGGTTAACCATGAGTTAAGGAGGACAAACGTTCACCTTCAAAACTTCAAACCAATCATTCGTCCTCACTCATGTGGACACTCCCCCCCAACCTAACCCCCCCCCACTGTGATGCATTCCTCCTCTAATCCCTCCATCTAAAACCTTCCGCTCGTTAACTGCCATGACTAATTAGGATCAAAGCTGAGGTTTCACTTTAAAACTGCAAGTTTCAAAAGAAATAAAAACCAAGAACCAACCAGAACCTTCACCGTCTAAAAGACCAACCAGAACAGTTAGAACTCATGGACGTCACACATGATCCAATCAGCAGTCAGTGAAGACTGACCGTCTGTCAACAACTACAGGAAAGAAGAATGAAGTCCAGTTACCATTCCAGCCTCTCCCTGGTCCTACTGGTCCACACCACAGTCCTACTGGTCCACACCACAGTTCTACTGGTCCACACCACAGTCCTTCCTCCACTGTTGTTTCTGTTTTGTTGCTGTGGTCCACACCACAGTNNGTCCACACCACAGTTCTACTGGTCCACACCACAGTCCTACTGGTCCACACCACAGTCCTTCCTCCACTGTTGTTTCTGTTTTGTTGCTGTGTCCAGATCCTTTTCCTCCTTTCTCTTTTACAGCAGTTTTAATTTGCTGTACCAGACCTGAGTATCAACATGGGTGAGGATCTGTCCTGTGTGAGTGATACTGTATCTGAGGACGTCAAAACACCTAATTACTGACCAACTCCATCATCAGCTGACACCTCAGTCATACAGTTCAGTGAACTCTTCTTCAGATGACACACAGACGGAAACACCGACTCAGTCCTCCAAACCTGGGCCTCGTATCAAGACAACGTCTCAGCTCCAGGTACTCATGCCAACAGTTAGTACTTTTTCAGTACTTTTTAAAGTACTTATTAAAGTTACTATTTGTTCTCCATGAAAGTCTGACATGAAGTTCCTGTTGGTTCAGGAGACGACGAAGTGTTGGTCCAATCAGGGCCTGCCGTTGTTCCCTAATTAAATCAAGTTTTTATAGCAGGATGATGATGATGATGATGATGATGATGATGATGATGATGATGATGATGGTGATGATGATGGTGATGGTCCCACCAAAACCACAGGGATCAGACCACGTAGACGACTGCTGCAGGGTCACAACCCTGACAAGACACGCAAGGCAAGACATAACAAGCCGAGCGCTGCACTAACGGAGCATTAATGATCCTGGGATGCAGTAGCTGACGGCCTAATCCTACATTAAATGAACTGTAATTACGTGTTCTCTTTGTCTTCTCTGTGAAGTCACACAGCTGATGATTGGTCCTCAGTCGGGGACACGTCAGCCAGTGAGAGAAGAAGACACTTGTCCTCTGTGTTGGACTGACGTCCACCTCATATGTAGCAGCAGCGTGGACTCCAGCCTCCAGCCTGACGTCCCTTCAACAGCGGTGCAGTGGTGCAGTGGTGAAGGTGCTGCCCTCACAGGCTGGAACGTGTTTGACAGGTTTGGTTTTGTTGATGCAACGATTAAAGGTCATCACAACACCATCTGATGAAAACAGCTCCTCTGTGTCTGCTAGACTCAGCTCAGACTGTCCAGGATTTGGTCATCACACACACACACACCTAACCCTAACCCCTAGTGGCAGCTCACACCCCCGCAGGTGCCGGCACCAAGATCAAGAACATATTGGTTTAGTTTGATGAATGTTGAGAACCAACGTTCTGTCAGGAGATTCTTGACTGTGATTGGTCAGCCGTCCAAGGACTGAAGTATTTACCCTGCAGTGAAATCCATTTCTGCTGTTTCAATCCTCTGTGACTGGATCCACACTGACTGAGCAGTTTGTCCACTAGGGGCCAGTACAGACACGCCTGATCGCCTGGTGTGGCGTCGAACCACTACCCTACGACTGTGATTGGTTTTAAAAACCTTCTTCTTGGAGAGCAGTTCTCATCCCAGTTTGGGAGCGGTCTTCAAACCCAAACCTTCATTTTATCAGGTGTGTATTTAAATCTTCATCAACAACTGTCAGGACTGGCTCGTCTGTCAGCGCCCCCTGGAGACCACCGCTGTCCTGCGGGGCTGGTTTGTGCTCACAGCTCATCACACACAGTGAGTTCGACAGTCGGGCGGAAGGAGGGAATTCTGGGCCTGTGATCGCTGGAGCAGCTCAGCCTCAAAGCCTCTGGGCTTAGAAAGAGGGGGCAAAAGAAGAGGAGGGGGGGTAAGAGATGGGTGGCGGTCAGGGCAGGGGGACGTTATCTCAGCTCCTCTGGGCGGGACCAGATTTTTGCAGTTCAGATGAAGAGAGAAGGAAATTAAGCCGCTCGCTTTTGTTACGGGTTTAAGGCTCACAGAGGGTGAGGGGCAGAATCCAGGGGGCGCCCTTATACAGGAGTGAGTGAGTCAGGGTGTGTGTGTGTGGGGGAGGGACAACACCACTCTACCAAACCACAGCAATATCACCTTCCAACCTCTGCCTGACCTTGATTGGTTTCCGCCTTTGAAACTCAAACCTCCGACGTCTCACCTGTAAGGCACGCAGCGCTGCCACTGACGCTGCTGTTCCTGAACTGTTGACATGAGAACACTGGCAGCCCCCCACCCCACCCCCCCCACACACTATCCCACAGCTGCCATGTGAAACCGGGTGACGTGTCTTCTAGCTGTTGTTCCTCGGGGCAGAATAATTGCACCCCCCGGAGGCAGCAGGTAACAAACACATCCATGAACTGTTTGGTTCGTGTTGGAGCAGGACATCTCTAAATCCTCTGGACAATCAAATGAAGTGACGTTCAATCATCTGGCTCTCTGACCTCCACTCGTCATGTCTGCCTGACCCTGACACCTGACCCTGACCCCTGACCCCTGACCCAAACCTCCTGCACCTGGACAGCTCAGGCTTTAGACCTAAATCAGTTTTGGTCTCATGCCTCGCGACCTGGGAACAAACACTGGTTCTGGTTCTGGTTTATATTCATTTTCATTAACATCTTCACAGAAACGCTCTCGTGACCCAGCAACCACGCACAAATATCACTTTTCAAACCGGTTCACACGCTGGCAGAAGAAAAACAATCCATCTGTGGTGATTTCCACCGTCTGTGAACTAAGCCCCGCCTCCACT